GGAAGCATTGTCACTTGGGAAAACGGGTAACACCATGACCTGATATGGATGTAAATTGTCAATGATGATTGTCACCTTGTAATATTGTATACTTCAATTGTTTAATATCTACAGGAATTGTTTCTGGAAATATAGGGAGAAAAGGTCTCAACAGATTCCTATTGATGGAACTGTTGAGAGTAAAACTTTCCTACTAAGGACTGAATAGACTTGGAAATACACCTGATATTTACTGTTTTCTTTGACATAATACTGATGATTTTTTTTGCATTTTGTTCTAAATCCACAAAGTTTTCTTGTTTTGGTGACCAGGATCTGCAGCAAGGTTACAATTTTTTTTTCCAACAAAGCTAAATTGTGTTTGCATTTTCTCTCCCCTTGATACCAACACAGCATAAAAATAGTGGTAGTAATCTTTTTTTTTTTTAAAGATTTATTTATTTATTTACACAAGCACTGGGTACAATCAGAAGTGCGGGAGGGTGAGAGAATTCACCAGGGCCAGAGAGGGAGCAGAGCAGGCAGAAGCACCGAAGTACACTGCTGAGGGGAGCAGTGGGCGGCAGGAGAGGTCTGCGCGCCATGTGGGACCCTCCTCTGGTGGCCGGGGAGCAGCTGGGGATTGAACCGGCGCTGCAGAGGCTGCGGGCAGCTTCACAGTCCAGCTCTCAACCACTGCGCCACCAGGGAGGCCCAGTGGTAGTAATATTTTACTACTTATCTCAGAGTCTGTTTTTGCATAACTTCCATAGGGATTTTGTCTTCTTAAACTAAAAAAAATTGGACATAAGTTTCATTGTCTGGCTTTGTGTGGAGCTCTTCCAGAAAGTTGAAACAGAGCTGAACCAAGAAGAGGAGAACCTGTTTGCTTTGTTCATAGGGTTCCAGAGACCTCCAAAGAAGGTGAGGAAGCTTGCCTCCATTGGCAGGACTGGACAACCCGGCCAATGAAAAGTCCCTGGTACCCTCAAGAAGAGGAAAGCCCAGATGGAGTCTGATGAGACCAACTTGTTCCAGAAGCCTACACAGACCGGATGTCAACAGTTCGCTCTGAATCCTATATGGAGTATTCCAACGAAGCAAGCTAAAAATTGCTGCTTAGTTATTCTGCCCTGTGATTTTATGCAAAAATAGGCAATATGGTTTAAAAGTTGATTTAGTTTGCAAACTTTTGCTATGCTGTTCAAAAAAATTTGGAATCAAGGTTGAGAGAATTTGTTTTTACATAAGTTGAACCATTTTAAGATTTTTTTCCTGTGATTTTGATATATTTGCTGTCTTGTTCTGGCAAATGCCTCCAGATGTTTCCTTTCGGCTTGGACTGATGAACTGTTTTTCCAGGACTGGAGGACTTTTGCTTTCCACAATGGACAATACCTGGAGGGACTGGTTTTCTTTCACACTGGAACCCTGGAAAATTTTCATCTGAGACTATATCCCAGCTTCCATATGTTTGATCTTCATCACCATGGAAATGGTGGCAAAAAGTGAAAGTGGGGAATTGTTAGGGGGAAAGGATGTCCTGTGCTAATCCCATACAGGCTTTGTGGACTCCACCCCCACTCCAGACCAAAGTCATCAAGACATTGGGAAAGACAAATCCCGTCACCACCAAAGGGAAGGTGGCTGGGACCTGAGGGTGGAGTTGGGCAGCCAGGTTGGATATAAAAATCAACACGTGGGCCTTGGGGGGCTCACTGTGGCTCGCCTCCTGGCTACACAACTCCTGGCTCGCGGCCAGCTCTCAGAGCGCCATTTTGGGATTCCTGATCGGCGGATCGGGTAGGACTCATTTAAAACTTTGTCTCCCACTTTTCTCCCAGAGCTGTACATTTCCTCATTTCCCCTTCCCTTGTAAATAAACCTTTTATTAACCTTTCGCGTGTGCCTGCAGTAGAGCATTGATAAGTCCTTTTAAGTGCGCGGGTGAGGACCCACAGTCAGGCACCCCATTTTGTGTCGGGGTTGCTCTACAACACAATCACTGGGGTTCCTAATCCACCCTCAGGGGTCATCTCTCCTCTGCTTCAGAATTGGGTGTTTGCTTGACTATCAAAGCATTGACTTTTTATTCGGTTTGTATTACCCCAAAGAAACAACTGCGTATAGACTGCTGCTTTCTTATTTATTTGAAATGAGATATTTCAGTGTTCTTTCTCCTGCCATGCAGTCTCTCCTCCTCCATTTCCGTGACAACTCGGGCAGAGAGGCAGGAGTTGCAGCCACCAAGATGGTTGCAGTGGACAACGCCTCAGCTCCTGCGTGACTCCACATGGACTTGTGAAGGAAGGGGGATGGGGCAGGGAGCTAATGTCTGCCTGGCTGTGCTGGGAGTCATGTGGCCACACTGGGGATCTAGGGATCTGCCGCGCAGGTGGTTCTTTTCAGCACAGTAAATAGATTTGATGTCAGAGTTTTCATTACCTCTCTTCTCTGCTGTTTCTCCTTTCTCTTTCCAGTCTCTCAATCAGGAAACCATGATCACTTGTCTCCCTTCCTGCCGTTTTCCCCTCCCTAGGGGAGTGAGGTTGTCTGATATCCAGCTTCTCTCCCTGTCTAATTCCTGTCTGCTGTCAGATGAATCCATTCCTTTTTTAAACAGAAGTGAGACTGAGGAGTGTATTTTTTTTTTTTTAACTGGGTTTTGGAACGACCTCCTGTCTTTATTTACTTCTGAGGAAGCCTTATTTACCTCTTTATCTTTATGTACCTTTTAGAAATCAAAAGGAGGGGAGGTGGATCACTGTATTTCAGCACGTACAACTTAATTACAAGGATTTCAGGCCCATTTGGGCAAGTAAGTTTCTGCACCTCTGTTGTGTGCTACTATATTTTTTTTTCTTGCTCTCAGTTTCTTTTTGTCTTTTCTCCTTTCCTTTTCATTTCCTCTTGTCTCTCTACTGCTGGTCTTCTTTAATCTTTCCTTTTCTCGGAGTACCCTTCCAGACTTTTGTAATAAATTTATATTTTGCAAAAGAATTTTCTTGTGTCAGTTTTTGCATCCTCACTGAGTCTGATAGCTTTTATTTTTCTGTCCCAAATCAGATTTTATTCTCAAATTCTTCCAGTCACTGTTTTGGCACTATCAATGTCAAATGTGCAAATGATTCTTGCTAACCAACACCAGACATATCTGATGTTCAGATGATTTCTCATAAAAACTTTTTTTTTCAAAATAAATGAATAAACATAGCAATGAAATAGAATTTAGAACTTAGAGGCCAGAAATAAACTGACACTGAGACAGATAATCTATGATAAAGGAGTCAAGAATATAAAATGGAGAAAGGAAAGTCTCTTTGCCACATGCAAACAAGTAAAACTAAACCATTCTCTCACATCTAACACAAAAATTAACTCAAAATGGAGCAAAGTAGTACCTGAAACCATAAAATATATAGAAAGAAATATTGGTAAGACACTCTACAATACTGGCTTCAGGAATGTCTTTGGGGACTTGACTCCAACAGTGAAGAAAATAAAAGCAAATATTCAAATGGGACTACAACAAACCTGAAAGCTTCTGCACAGCAAAAGAAACTCTCATTAAAGTGAAAAGACACCCAATCAGGTGAGAGAAGATATTTTCACATCATACATTTGAAAGGAGCTAATATCCAAAAATCTACAAAAAATTTTACCCAAGGAAAAAGAATACACAAATCCCAATTAAAAAAAAAAATGAACAAAAATGCTAAGCAGATACCCCTCCAAAGAAAACATATGTTCATCATCACTGGTCATCAGGAAAGTGCAAATCAAAACCATAATGAGATACCAATTCACACCTGTTGTTAGAGGGAAAGGATGTCCTGAGTTAATCCCATACAGGCTTTGTGGACCCCACCCCCACTCCAGACTAAAGTCATCAGGACATTGGAAAAGACAAATCCCATCACCACCAAAGGGAAGGTGGCTGGGACCTGAAGGTGGAGTTGGGCAGCCAGGATATAAAAACAAAACACGTGGGCCTTGGGGGGCTCACTGTGGCTCGCCTCCTGGCTTCACCGCTCCTGGCTGGCGGCCAGCTCTCAGAGTGCCATTTGGGATTCCTGATTGGCGGATCGGGTAGGACTCATTTAAAACTTTGTCTCCTACTTTTCTCCCTGAGCTGTACATTTCCTCATTTCCCCTTCCCTTGTAAATAAACCTTTTATTAACCTTTCGCGCGTGCCTGCAGTAGAGCATTGATAAGTCCTTTTAAGCCCGCGGGTGAGGACCCACAGTCAGGCACCCCGTTTTGTATCAGGGTTGCTCTACAACACTGTGACAATGGCTCATATCAAAAAGATCAGAACAAAAACACATGTTGTGGAGAAAAAGGAACATTCACATATTGTTAGTTGAAATGTAGACTGACCCAACCCATATGCAAAAGAGCATGGAGGTTTCTCAAAATACAAAAATTGTTCTACCATGTGTTCTAGCAATTCCACTTCTAGATATCTACCCAAAGAATTATGAAAACTGAAGTTATATATGCAGCATTATGTTCATTTCAGTACTATTTATAGTAGCTAAGGTATAGAGTCAACTTAAGTACTAAGGTATAGAGTCAACCTAAGTACTCAAGGGCAGATGAGCTGATTAAGAAAATATGATACAAATACATAATGCAAAACCATTCAGCTATAAAAAAAAAAGATGAAATCTTGTCATTTGTGACAACATGGATGGAACTGGAGGGGATTAGGCTAAGTGAAATAAGAAGAAAAGGCAAATACAGGATTTCATCCATATGTGGCATATAGGAAAAACAAAATAAAGGAACAGACAAAACCAAAACAAAAACCCTAGAAATCTGATGGTAGAATTGAGAGCAACAAGGGAAGGAGAAAGGTGTGGACCAGTGGACTGTGGTGGAGACGAGGGGTGTCTTTGTGGTGGTGTGCTGTGTAACACACATCTGAAGAGGGTGATGCAATACCTCTGAATTGTATACAGTGTTTAAACCAATTTTAACTAAATAAAAAAAATACCAAAAAATGCGGTGTGCCTGAGATCCTCAGTTTATTATGTAGCAAGAAAACATACAATCGAATAGGAAATTTGAAAGACTTCTTATTGCTGTAGAGAACATATAGGAGTATATCTGAGATTTTGAAGGATTGCAGTGTGGAATAGGTATCACACAGAAAAGCATTTAATTATAGCTGGATCAAAGGACTTCTAAATCTCTTGCTGTGCCCTTGTTTGGTTTGCATTAATATCACTACAATAGGAAATGCTGAGTTCTGTTTTTAACAGTCTTTAGGAAATCCATGATATTGGTGCCTCCAGTGCCCCTATTTTCTGCTGCTTCTGACTCTTCTGCTGTTTGGTTTTTCTGAGACTGCTGGCGTGCAGGGGTCACGATGTACTTACACACTATAGCCAAATGGTAGTTTCTTAAGGCAACCATGGCACTCACACACTTATTATAACAGTCCTTAAGGTTAGCATCATTTTTTGACTTGATAAATTCACGAACTGAGGGCTCTGACTCTAATGATCGAAGAAAGTTCCTGTGAGCTGGTGGCATGTATGTTCTCATGTCCTGGAGGAATTTAGAAGATTCTAAAAGAACATGAGAAAGATGAGTTAATAGAGAGGCCAAGCATCTCCCCAGTCCAGAGGAGAAGGGCAGAGTGAGGGCATAGTGAGTGGGCAGTAACAGGTCTACATAGCATACATAACAATATAACATGAGGCCATGAGTTCACAACTATCCTATTAGAAGGCTATTAGTCTTATTGTTAGTAAAGAGAATTTTAAAATACAATTACTTTTGAAAGCCAGATGAGTGACTCTTTTGTAGTAAATTTTTTTTTTGCCTCATTTCTTATTTTCCTACTGTATTTGTCCTTCTAGGAATCTAATTATACAGACAGAGTATATAATATAATCTATACTTAACAAATCAGGACACTGAGTCAAAAAGAGTTTAAGATATTTTTAAATAAGTGACAACTATGAAGCAAGCATATTTTCATCCAGCTAGAAGTTCCCGCCTTTGACTGTGCAATATATAAGTTTAAGAAAACAGAAAAGTAAAAAGAAGTTTCTTCCTCTGGCCCCTCTAAACCTTTTGAAGGAGCCAATGACAGTGGTTAGGCTTTAAGCCTTGGTGCCAGCACTGACCCTGGGCCGCTGGGGCAGCAGGATGGCTTAACCAGAACAATATCAAGTCTCTCATCATCATTAAGGGCTCTACCTTCCCAACTTCAGCTCATAGTCCTATCTCATTTGCAGGTGATTATTTTTTTCTGAATCTGATCGTATATTTCAGAACATGTGATATTGGCTTCAGTCAGGTCTTATGTACACACTCATATGCCCAGATCACGAGGGTGACAAACTTTGAGTTTTGGCTTCAGTGTTTTCTAGCTGGTTAACAGTCACTTAATCTCCTTAAGTTTTTGTTTCTTTATCTGTAAAATGGGATGATGGCAACATAATCAAGTCTCTAATTATTCTCCTAAGCATGAGATAAGATAAAGGGAGGTATTGAGGTGAAGGTACTTTTTAGAAATTAAAATGCTATTGTATTAACACAGGTGATGATGATTGTCATTTCCACTCACCTCCATCTTGATGCTGAATGCCCAGAAGAACATCAAAGCACTGAAAGAGGCTGCTTTGGGCTGCACTGCCGCCTGCATATGCCTGAGGGGTGTCCCAGACTCCCTCATACAGCAGACCCTCTGGCATCTGGGAGTTGCCTTTCCAACTAGGTCAGAAAGGAATGAATAATCATTATTGGGATTAACAGTCAAATTTCAGATATAAATTCTTACCAATAAGAATGAATGTAAGGTAACATGAAATAGACATTTTTTTTGTTATTTTTTTTATTGCTCTTCTTCCATACCACCCTTTCCACTAATTTTTATGCATGAAAACAATAAATAAAATGGTTCTGAGCAAAGTTGGCATATGTGTTCTATGAATGAAACCTTAGCAAAGATCATTCCACTCTCTTTAAAAATGATTAGCACTAAATACATAGTGTATTTTAGTCTAGTGTATTAAGGATATAATTTGTTTCTAAACCTGATGGATAGTGGGGAACTTGGAGGGAATTTGATGTGTTCCTTAAATTAATTGTCTGAAAGAAAATGAATTCAAGGCAGATATTACATACCCAGCCAAGTATATACGAAGAACATTGAAAAAGTCATTTGGGTCCACATGTACTGTAAAAAGATGAGATGGATTTTATTAAGCAGCATCATAGCTAGAAGGTGGAAACAAAATACTTTAAACAACTGATGGTGAATTTTAGCATAGGCTGCAGGAAGAACATTAGGTCAATCTGTGCAAGAATGGAAAAGCATTAACTCTCCTGCCCTCTCCCAGAGGAACTCCACTCAACTACTGTGTCCACCAAATAGGGTCTACCTTAGAGCTAACAGCTTGGGTTGAAGAATCTGTGTCCACATGCCACTTATTGTCAGCAGGTTAATTAAGTCATCATCATTTCTTTAAGTCTACATCATGTGCTTATTGATATAACAAAAACAACTTACATAAAGAAGCAAGCCCAAACAAAAATGAAAACAGAAAGAGAAAACCCAGTAGCATTATAAATCACATCCCTGGGATTTGTTTCCCAAAGCTTGTTAATAATGTCTTTATTTGAAAGTCAATCTTCTTGCCAAGGACAAGTCAGCAGTGACTCAAAGCCCAGCATGAAAGTCACATACCCTATTTAGGTTGTTCAGTAGGACAAATTTACTTTTGCAAACCCTTATTATTTCCTTTTTTGGTTATTGTTGTTTTCTAGCTGTTAAGTTTGCTATAACTTCTGAGCTCAATGGCTTTTGTATGATGTTTCTTAGTTAACTTGTGAAAGAAGAATTTATATGTGTATCTAACAAAAACTATGTTTTTCAAGGACTCAAAACAATTTACACAGTTGGCAAGTTTCTCCGTGATTTCTAGTGGGAACCAAGGACATTTCTTAGAGTTAAATAACTAGTTTGGAATTCTGACATCTCTGTGTACCACCTATGTAACTGTAGGTCATTTATCTTATCTTATGCAAATTTAGGTTCTCATATTTATAAAATGGATAAAATGATCTTACCTTGTGGAAAGCATGATTCAGTGATAAATGTAATAATATTATATGCTTCTCTCTTGTAAACAAATCCACACCTTACATAATCAGAAGCATTTGATGGTCTGCCTATAATACCACGTGGCTAACAATACTTGCCATGAATTTGCTTAAACGTTTCAAGGGCTTTGTCCAGACAAGAAGCTACATCACATAGAGCCTTTTGTAAAGTTTCACAGTCCTCCTGTTGCAGTGCATGGTATATAGTGGGAATTACCTTAAAAAAAAAAAAAACACAAGATTTCCTCTCACTTAGCATTGTCATAAAATAAAGTTCTCCTAAGTCTTAATGCCTGAACTAAATTTAGTCTTTCCATCTATGAGTAATCTCTAATTGTTTGACTAATTGCCTGATATTTAATCAAACTTGGATTTGTTTTATTTATTTACGTATGTTTATATAGTTTTATGTATTTATATTTCTAATGGTCAGAACCACTATATATCTCATTATGTGATATAATAATAAAGTATATTGAACATATTTCTCTTTATTGAGATTTCACATTAGGTTCTAAATATATGGCTCCAACATTTTATATTTTAGGTGATACACAAAAATAAATAAAATATTTATTTTTAGCAAATGACCCACTACATCTAATTAAATCAGTGCTGTATATAGTCAGGATAACTTTTTTTCCTTGCTTAATATAACAGTTAGTTATTAAATGATTGCTCTGCTTACATGAAACAAGAGACAGATTTTACACTATCAATAGACATACTTTGATTGCAGGAACAGCTGCTATTTCCACCAAGAGGGAAACCAAGAAGAATCCTTTACTGCAATCCCCACCAGGAAACGAGAACAGAATGTCCATATTCCTAAGAAAATCAGAAAATGAAGTCAGGAATGTAGCCAAAATATTGGCATATTTGTTGAGTACTTTCTGGTTTTCCAGCATTTTAAAAAAAGATTTATTTATTTATGCATACAAGAACTGGGGTAAAGGGCAGAGGTGTATGTGGGGGGCTTGGTGGTGAGAGGACTCACCAGAGACAGAGTGGGAAACAGAACAGGAAGATGGACTGAAATACACCGCTGAGGGGTGCAGTGAGTAAGTCAGGAGAGGTCTGCTGCGCCATGTGGGTTGCTCCCTGGACGGTCAGGGATTGAACTCATGCTGCAGTGGCTGTGGAAAGCCCTATAGGCTGCACCCTAACCCCCCATGCCACCAGGGAGGCCCCCAAGAATTTTTTTTAAAGATTTATTTATTTATTTATACAAGAACCAGGGTACAGGCCAGATCCGTGGGAGGATGACAGGATTCACTGGAGTCAGAGTGGGGAACAGAACAGGCAGATGGACGAAAGACGCTGCTGAGGGGTGCAGCGGGTGAGACAGGAGAGGTCTGCTTCGCTGTGTGGGAACCTCGCTGGCCTGCAGGGATCGAACCAGCTGCAGAGGATGCGGACAGCTTCACAGCGCTGCGCTCAACCACCTGCGCCACCAGGGCAGGCCCTCCCAAGCATTTTTAATCCTGTTTATTTTCAAAATCATTTTGTGGGACAAGTAAACTACCACCATTAAGTCATTAGGGATATTGATATTAGCAAGATATTGAAGATATCGAAAAACTATGTTATTTTTAAAATTTCTTAAGTAGGCATCACAAACACTTTAGGGCATTTTAAGTGAAATAAAGATTAAATATGCAAGGGACGGGCCTCCCCGGTGGCGCAGCGGTTGAGCGCTGGGTTGCGAAGCTGCCCGCGGCCCCTGCGGCGTCGGTTCGATCCCCGGCTGCTCCCTGGCCACCGGAGGAGGGTCCCACATGGCGCACAGACCTCTCCTGCCGCCCGCTGCTCCCCTCAGCAGTGTACTTAGGTCCTTCTGCCTGCTCTGCTCCCCACACTGGCTCTGGTGAATTCTCTCACCCTCCCGCGCCTCTGCCTGTACCCAGTGCATGTATAAATAAACAAACAAATAAATAAAAAAAATACACGCCTCTTTAAAAAAAAAAAATATGCAAGGGACACATATGGACGCATCAGTTGTCTAATACCATATAATTAGTAGTAGATTAAGTTGGGACCTAAAATTCCATTGTAGAACTTGGTTCTAGAATTCCGTTCCAGAACTTAGACTATTACTGCTTCCATTATCTCATTTTTTCATACACATATAGAAAATTTTTACAGATATTTGTAAAGTAAAGTTGTTTGCTGAACAAATGCATTCATTGGCCTCTCTGGTGGCCTAGAGGTTAAGTCTCAGTTCTACCACCGCGAAGGCCCACTTTGACAGCCTGAATTCATCTCCAGGCAGGGAGCTACCTCTGTTACGGCGGATCTCTCTTGTTTTACCTGCTGCTCCCCTCAGCAGTGTATTTCAGTCAATCTGCCTGTTCTATTCCCCATTCTGTCTCTGGTGAATCCTCTCACCCCCCACATCTCTGGCCTGCAACCCAGTACTATGCAAAAATAAATAAATAAAATCTTTGAAAAAAAAGTAAATGCATTCATATACATATTTTTATCCGTGAACTTGAATCAATTTCAGGGATTTATATATGCCTCATATCGGAATTCTCTGGAAAGTTCAAATGAATGATTAAATCTAATTTTTTAAAAATTGAAGCTTTGCATTGATGTAAACACAGTCACAATATCAGAATATGAGTTTCATGGTTACTGAATTCATGGTCTCTAAAGTCAGAAAACTGCAGCTTATTTGCTGTATGAAGATATTTGAGCAAGATATTTTAACTGTTTCTGCTTCAATGATCTTAACTGTAAAGTGGGATATAATGTTTCCATTTAATAATCTTCCACTTATTTTAAGAAACTGTTTAAAACCCTTTTCTTAGTGAAATGTCCTAAATAACCTTTGGTTAAGTTTATTTCTCCATCCCTTTTCCATACTGTTACTTTCATCACTCATGATTGACCAGCTTCCTTAAGAGAACTGAAGACACCAAAACTTTTGTCATTTCAAGGTCTTTTTTACTTGTTGCTTCCTCCACTATGTATACTCTTTTATTTTCCTTCTAGCTAATTCCTACTCATTCTTCAGGACTCAGGTTAAATCGCATGCTGCAAGACTTCCTTCCTCTGTCCCTTTTCTTTGGTTAGAGCACCAGTTACCTTATCTTCTTACCCCTCCTCTAAATCATACAGTGACTCACATAATTTTTATATATTTCCTTTCCTCCTCCTCTGTAAACTTCACCAGGGAAAATTTATAGCTATGATATTTACCTTTGTTTCCCCAACTGTTATACTCTGTTTAAAATATAACCCAAGAATAATAAGGTCAAAAAGAACAGATTTATGTTTTCACCACTGAGTTGATTAAGTCATAAATACATACATGTATATGCATTTGTGTTTATGTATATTAATTATACTTACATATATGCAAGTACATTTTTTGTGAGATTAGCTATAACTTTAAGGAGCCACAGTCATGTCACAATGATAGGTGTAATTAAGGACTGGGTTTATGTGCTCTTTAAAGAGTTTAAATTGCTTTATGCCTGAATTCAATAGATCATTTAAAAATGCATTTAGATGATACTGAAAAGCCCACATTCACTTTGAATAGCAAATACTTCTTAGAATAAAACAAAGATCAAAATAGATGAAATACTTACTCGTAAGTCATTGGTCTTAGGAAAACAACAACGAAGCAATCAAACAATGAAAAGAGAGAAGAAAACTAAGTTAAAAATCAAATAGTTATAATATTACTTAGATTGCTTTGAATTCTACTGATCTATCTAAGGCAAGATATTGAAAATAAATAGACTATGTTTTTTTTTAATTTATCAAGCAAGCATCACTAACAATTTAGGACATCTTACGTGAAATAAAGATTAAAAATACAAGGGACACATGCATAATGGAACTAGTTGTTACTAATAATTACTATCACTACTAATAAATAAAATACTTTCATTTTGCTGTATTACCATGTCTATTAGACTCCTCTGCAGACACATACCCAGAGCCCCATGGCACGGCAATTCTCTTATCCATTTATTGCATCAGAATCCATTGCTAAATGTTTAAGAGTGGACTAGATTCTGAACTAAAAGCCAGTTCAGATCCCTACTACTGAAGATGAGTCAAATTAAACTCAATTAGACGCTTAAATATTAAAATCATAGATTTCCAAAAACATGTTAATCAAGAGAAGCCAGATGACTACATAATCTACAATTTCATTAATATGAAATCCAATAACTGAAATACCTCATTTTAATAAGACAAACCAGAATATATTTGCCTGGGCAGGTAGGGGAGGGAACTGAATGAGAAGAGGCACAAAGCAATTTTTTTGTTGTGGTAGAAATATTCTGTATGTTGCTTGGAGTTAACGTGTATATATGACAGTAAAATTCATCAGACTGAACAATTAAGTTTTGTGCATTTCCTTGCATTTAATTGTACACCTCTCTTACACGAAAAATACTTTTGTAGTTATAGATACATGAGGTAAAGAAATAATACCCTTATAACAAAGAACAACAGAGAAGAAAGGTGTGCTTCCAAAAATCAAACAAGGGGCCTCCCTGGTGGCACAGGCGATTGAGTGCTGTGCTGTGAAGCTGTTCACGGCCTCTGCAATGCGGGTTCGATCCCGGCTGGCCAGCGAGAATCCCACATCGCGAAGCAGACCTCTCCTGTCTCACCTGCTGCTCCCCTCAGCAGTGTATTTCAGTCAGTCTGCCTGTTCTGTTCCCCGCTCTGTCTCTGGTGAATCCTCTCACCCTCCCGCACATCTAGCCTGTACCCTGGTTCTTGTATAAAAATAAATAAATCTTTAAAGAAAAACAAAAACAAAAAAAACCACAAAAATCAAACCAATGACTAACTCTTTGGATTTAAACAGCATACATTCATTTAATTCCTATCATATTGCTGTTTACATACCCATTGGGATCCTTTTTCTTCCAGTTTGCCAAGACACAGTCAGCATAAATCAGAATAGGAGGCATTCCCAATTTCTCCGAAAGCTTGCAGTAAGGAACAGCAATATTGCGTGGGAGAATCTAATTAAAAGACAATGTTTGCTATTAACCTTTTCGCCTGTTTTCCATGTGTCAAAGCATTAGATGTCCAATATGATGGCACTATGGAACTAAACAAATTGTTAAATGTTCACATTTTAGATTTCTGTTAATGTGAACATATCTGTTTATAAAGAGAAAACAGAGGTAGAGGTCCAGAGGGAAAAAGGTTATGAATTGTTAACTTTCTAATAATCGGTGAGTTATTTCCAGCCAATCATTCATCCATCCATCCCATGTATAACTGTTAAGAAAGTCCTCTATGCCAGGTACTCTATTTAGTAGCAATAAAAAGAAAAAAAAAAGAAAAAAAAAAACAAAACTGGTCATTTCTAAAAAAAAAAAAAAAAAAAAAACAAAGTCCTTTGTAATTAAGACTTGAGTATGAGGGCCTCCCCAGTGGCACAGCAGTTGAGAGCTGGGTTGCGAAGCTGCCCGCAGCCTCTGCTGCACCTGTTCGATCCCCTGCTGCTCCCCGGCCACCGGAGGAGGGTCCCACATGGCACGCAGACCTCTCCTGCCACCCCCTGCTCCCCTCAGCAGTGTACTTCGGTCCTTCTGCCTGCTCTGCTCCCCGCTCTGCTCCCTGCTCTGGCTCTGGTGAATTCTCTCACCCTCCCGCACTTCTGACTGTACCCAGTGCTTATAAAAATAAATCTTAAAAAAAAAAAGACTTTTGAGTATGATATTACCAGATATTCCAGAAACATGAATAAATTGCTGCTCTTTGGGGACAGAGCTGACAAAACTTTTTCCTTCATAGTTTTTTCAGAAAACCTTACCATAGAGTGACATTGATGCTTGACTTTGAAGATTTTCTTTCATCAAAAGGAGGAATCCCCTTTACCCTGAATCTTGAGTAGAATTTTATGAGCAACAGACTCAGAAAAATAACTGAGGAGAAATGGGGGCTGAGATATAATTTCACTCCTCCACTCAACAACTAGTTAAATTTCTATACCTTTTCTGAAGAAGGGTGAGCAAAAGAACTGATATATTCCAATCAATATATTCTGCATAGAAACATAAAACAAGGGTAAACAAAAAAAGACAATCAAAAAATGGGCAGGAGGCCCGAATAAGACAGTTCTCCGTAGAGATTGCTGATAGGCATATGAAAAATATTGGTCATCACTTATCATCAGGGAAATGCAAATCAAAATCACAGTGAGATGCCATCTCACACCTGTGAGAATGACCCATATCAAAAAGTCCAGAACAACAAGTGTTGGTGAAGATGTGGAGAAAAAGCAACATTGTTGGTGGGAATGTAGACTGGTGAAGATCTTATAGAAAACAATATGGATGTTTCTCAAAATATTATAGAAAACAATATGGATGTTTCTCAAAATATCAAAAAAAAAATATTAAAAATACCATATTATCTAGCTATTTCCTTCCTAGGCATATACCCAAAGAATACAAAAATAGTAATTTGAAGAGATATATGCACTCTTATATTCATTGTAGCAGTATTACAATAGCCAAGCTATGGAAGCAACCTAAGTGCCCAAGGACAGATGGATGTATTAAGAGTATGAGGTATATGTACATAACACACACACACAATGGAAAGCTGCTGCGGTATAAGTTGCTTATATATATAAGTTGCTTATATAAGCTGGAAGGGATTATACTAAGCAAAATAACCCAGAAGAAAGATAAAGATTGGATGGTCTCACTCATATGTGGGATATGGAGAAACAAAACAAAGTGTTAGATAACACCAAACCAAAAATAAACCTAGTTGTCTGATTATAAACTGAGGTTCCCAGAGGGTAAGGGGTACGGTATAAATAAAGGAGTGAGAGACCCCAATGGACCTGGTGAGTGTGGTGTGGTAGCAGACACCTAAAGACATGACATTCTGTATTTCTGTATCATATACGTGTTATAAGTCAGTGTTACCTTAATTAAAAATGCATTAAATAAATAACATAAAAAAGACAAGATATTATTTAAATCTAAAAGTATTTACTATTGATGAGAGCAGAGTCAATCTAATATGTTCTATATTGACAAAAGTAAGTCAGTATTAACTAACAACCACAAAATGTTCAAAGACCAAAACTTATTAATAGATAAAAATATTTCATAATTAAATATTTATTGCAGTATCATTTACAATGGTAAAATATTTAAAAACCAGCAATGTATATTTATCAAAGTTTAAATAAAATTTAAGAATTCAGTGAAAGATTATAGTGATTTCAAATGATGACTGGAATGATTGTGTAGTAACTGAAAAATGCTTGCTAATAATTTAAGTGAAAGAACCAGGATATATGTATATACACTGGACAGAACAAATGTGTTATATAAGTAAAAGATTAAAAATCTAAGTGATAACAGCTGACATGTTAAGTCAGTGAAAGATGGTATTTTTTTCTTTTTTTTTTACTACCCAAACTTTACTAAATGTAGTTACAACATGTTTAGAATTCTTTTACATTATATGTGAATTAGATTTAAATTTGCATCACCATAATAAATATTAGAAAATCTCCAAACCTTTCGGATATCCTCATCACCTTTATTCCATACATATGCCATGGTGATATAGCTTAGCACCAGATGTGCAAGGCGCTGAGATTTGTGGCTTCCGAGTCCATCAATTTCGAGTTCTGGTAACTGAGAATAAATGGAGAAGTTGACTCGGATCAATATGGTTGACATTACAACTTTATTTTTTAAAAAAAGATTTAGTTATTTATGCATACAAGAACTGGGGTACAGGCCAGAGGTGCAGGGGGTGAGAGGATTCACCAGAGACAGAGTGGGGAACAGAACAGGCCAATTGACTGAAATACACTGCTGAGGGGAGCGATGGACGAGACAGGAGGGGTCTGCTGTTCCATGTGGGTTGCTCCCTGGCCAGGATCAAACTTCTGCTGCAGTGGCTGCAGATAGCTTCACAGTGCTGAGACTTAACTCCTTGTGCCACCAGGGAGGCCAGACATTACAACTTTAAAACCGACTTTAACTATACTTCCAAAATGCCAACAATAATGTAAACCAATGTTACCTCAATTAAAAAAATAATGATTAAATTAAATCAAAAAATAAAATAAAACCAAGTTTAAAGTATAAAGAAGTAATAAAGTAATAGAAGATAAATATTGTATTTATTCAAACCTTCTCAACTTTTGCCCGTAGTTGGTTAGTTTCAATCAGTTCAGGCAGGTTTTTAGCAATGTCAATCCATTCATCATAAGGGCAAGGTAGCTCCTCCTGGGAAAAAAAAAAAAAAAAAAAAAAAAAAAACAGAGAATATTTATTTACTAATAATAGCCATTGTAGAATAGTTTTCCCAGCAATAGTCGTGTTTCATTTTGTGCTAGGTTGCTCTGAGAAACACACTTGAGATTAACCTCCTGTGTATTTCTTGTTCCTCTCTCTGCAGCATTCTCATCTGACTCTCTTTCAAAGTGCACCTCACGAGTTCCACTAAAATCTTCCTGACTACTGCTGTCAACATGAATAGTCCCAATTACAAATCCTAAGGATTATGCTCTCTCACATTACTAAGTAATGTCAGGAGTAAGGAAAGCAAAGCTTAGCAAATTTATGCAACTTGCTTTGTATGTTTAGTTTATTGTGATTAAGACATAACTTTCCAACTTTCAAAAACCCATGCTGTTTTTGAATCTCACTACCTGAAATCAAGGATTTTATTATGCTCTTAATTCTGTATCTTACAGTACCAGGCACAGTACTGGACATAAAGGAAATGCCATAAATGTATGCATATTGATTGCCTGCTTTGATTCTACTATAGATTTACTAGTTTGCCCAGTAAATACCAATGAAATCCAAGTGTTTTCCTAAATCTTATTTGTGATCTCATCTCAAAGGAAAGCATGCAAACAAAAGACCTAGGCAATAACTTGAAAGGAGACAGATTGCTGGATAACGCCAACACCCCATTTGCCCTACCATTCTGCTCCTTTACACTTTCCAGACATGCCCTTGAGGTCATCAATACTTAATAAGGAGGACAGAGTTCAAATGGAGAGACAGGGGATATGGTTTTAAACTTCAAAACAAAGTTTATATTATAAATCAGTTATCAAACCAATGGAAAATAAAATTCAAACATTTTCCAAGCCTCAGATAATTAGTAAAAAAAAAAAAAATGTAGTCCAAACTCTCCCTCTCACTTTAATTTTATACTTGGTAAACATAATTAGCAATATTAATACCAACCAAGTTGTTGATGTGCCATCTCAAAAGCCTAATAAAAATAGAAACATATGTACAATTAAGTTGCAGCTTCAGAGAAAGCAGGATTTTTGAATTGAGCCATTTACTACTCTGCTTTTTCAGATGCCTTCTGAAAATGCAATGTATTAAAACATCTTTTGATTTCTATCGTCTAAATATTTTGTAAAGATAAAGTGCATCTTTCCATATCACCCTCTATACTTGTATAAAATAAGGAGCACCTTTGAGGCTAAATTTCTAAGTGAACATTTTAAGATAGCTAAGTGAAACCCATGTATTAAAACCATCTCCGATGTTGGCACTGCTTTACCCATTTGTTAATCAAAATTACTCAACCAAATTTGTTCAAGAAAAGTTAACCTGCCCAGGTAAGTATTGATAAGAAAATATTTCAGTTCCCTTTCTTACCAGTGGTTTTCGCAGAGCAAAGCCCACATTTTCATCTATATGAAATTCTTCAAAGACTTTCCACGAGACATTCTCAGAGGATGCCCCCTCATGTGCCATGGTTGCAGCTTCTTCTTTGGTTCTTTCCAGACTTTGAGAAGTTTCAGGACTCCTATTTATGAAGAGGCTGTGCTATCATTGTTGAACACAACCACGTATGCAGCCAAAAATGACTTCCACTTTTGGTATAGTTTCATTTTCTACGTTCTTTATTTGTAGTTTGATAAACAATTGAACCACAAAAGCATCAGTGTTCCTAAGAAGAAGAAACTGAAAGGTCATATGCCATATGAAATCTTAATCATGGAGAACATGATTTAATAGGGGAAATCAGAAGGAGCCTGATTGGATAGCAAAAATAGGTGACTAGAAAAGAATATTTTTAATTTTCTGGAGCTTTTAAAATTTAGCATTGAAGAAATGAATTTGACCAAAATTAAGTCTAAGCTATCATTTAGTTATGACTATCATTGTCTTTCTTTCAAGCTTCCAGGATTCTATAAAAATAATAGTGTCTTGGTTTAGTAACCAAGGAAGCAATCTGTGGTGCGTTTAACTTCGGTGACTCTGAAGTAGAAAGTAACAAAAGCACATGAAGAATTTAGAGAGGTATTTCTCAACTCTCCCAATTTTTTCTACCCAGTCATCTTGTTTGTACTCTCCACGATTGAGTTCTTTCTTCATATTCCTAATACGTCATTTCGAGGAAGTTGTTATCTGCACCTCTACTCTGTGATCTGTTGAAACAAGTCTTTCACATTTAGAGACTTTGTAATATATTAAAGAGAAAACACCTTGATAAGTTTCTTTCAAAATATTAAGACAGTGTTTAGCAAAAGTTTTCAAGGTGCAAACACAGAATCTATACCACTCCTTTTAATGATCTAAGGGGAAAAAAGAGAAGGAATTAAGAGTTCAGGGCATTAAAAAAAAACAAAACAAAACAAAACAACAACAACCAGTTTTGTCTTCCAGCTTGTCAGTAATTGAAATGGCTTTGACTACATTCTAGAATAGTGCTCAGACTATTTCTTATGCAAAATATTATAACGTTCATTTTTTTTATGGTGCTTTCATGAGGCTGATACTTTTGAAATCAGGCCCAAGAAAAGAAAATAAACAAAAAATGTCACGTTGGCTTATCCCATCTATATTTCAACCAAAACGCCAACAAACTATTGAGAATTAGAAGATGTGTTGTTATTCCTTCGACATTTTTTTAAGGGTGTGGCAAAAACAGAGGCATTTGATGAAATTACAGATGCATCTGTCTTGGAAATATCTCTGAGAATTGTTATTTTAAGATCCCTGGCTTGAGAAAACTTTTCCTAGACTCTGCTCAAGCTACCTAATTAGATCTCCCCTGCCTTTAACTGCAGAAACAATAATGCTTACTTGTGTTGCTTTTATCCTTACCTTTTCAATTTTTTCAAATATCAGCCCATCATATTTCTGAAATTGCATTCCCAATTGATACTCAGTCCTCCCTCATCTTGATTTTTATTCATCAATAATCACATCTCCTTGAAAATCCCTTTTCATATGGTGTGAGAAGAACATCTTAATCTTCCTATTTTGTTTGGATTCCTTATCTTTTTCTTTAGTTTGTGATGGTATAAAGATTCTAAGTCAGAACTCAGTCTTTTGCTGGATAGTCTCCTAGATTTCAGACTATGTGAATCTGTCACATTGCATTGCCCTTTCAGAGTGTCACAAACTTGGAATCTTGCAGTATGCAGTATTTCATAGCTTTTTTCTTTTACATTTTTCTAATTACTGATGAAATAAATACCTTTTCAAATATGTAAAGGCAAGTTATATTTCTTACTCTATGAAATAATTACTTAAGTTTTGGGGCCAATTCTGATTGCAGATGTTTGTAGCTACTTATTGATCTGTTATTCTTAATATTTTGAATACTAATTCAATTGCATGTTGTAAGCAAATACTTCTCAAATTATCTATAGTTAAGTAGTAACTTAATTATAAAACTAATACTTGTGAAAAATAACAACAAAATTATTTTCAACAAGAATACAATAAAATACTGTTATTTTAAAATATTATATTATTTTTTTATTGAGGCAAGATTTGTTTACAGCACTATGTATGGTAGGTACATACCTCTGCAGATGTGTGTTACCACTCCACTTACGTCCACCACTAAAGCACCCATAATCCTCTACAGTAATCTGTTAGACTCCCTCTCTGCTTTATTCCCCATCCCTCTCCCTCCCCTTTTGTTAGCCTAAAATACTTCATAACAAACTGAAATTTACTTTTCAATGTTTATTTATAAGTAAACATAATTAAAAAAATACAAAAGCTATATTATCAAGTATGTGAATAAACAAGTGTATACCAAGAACAGTCACTATACTAATTTTTTATTGTTACCCAAATGTAAGTAAATACAAATTTAAGAATGGAAGATATTTATTCACACTAAAAGTCTTTAAACACTCTTGAATGTTATTTCATTCAATATTTAAATTTCATGTGGAAAAAGTATTTCATAGGTATATATTTTATATATAGGAAAGTACATGGAGTAGAAATTTATGTGGTAAATGTGGTAAATGTGGTAAATTGGTAAATGTGGTAAATTTATGTGGTAAATGAAGGAGAAATTCTCCTTTGTGGGGTCTTTTAGGGTAATCCCAATAAAGCTGTGGAAATTACATTCTAAGAGGCACACAATATTAAAGAATTTATTATACTCACAGATTCTAGGGATGAAGCACCACAGGCCCAGAAGGAGACATGAAGACACAAAAGGCCCATTGTTTGGCCACAGCAGGCAAGAAGAAAACAGAACAAGCAACTGAGGGCAAGTGCCTTTGTTGAGAGCAGTCATGGGTGTGGTAATTTGTAGTATATGGCAAATTTTACATTGGATAATTTGAATGTAATTGAGTCAACATGGAGAAGAGAAAAGGAGTATTGTGGGGAAGTTATCATGATACTTACTGCTTGAACATATCCTGGGAATAAGTACCAACAATGAGTAATAAAAGTCCCAAACAGTAGGGTGGATGCTGACACACAGATAGTAATAAGGGCAAAAATTGGCAGCATTCTATTATAAGATTGATATTTTACCATCTTCTAGATTAGTATAAAGATCATTTCCATCACTTGGAATGTTCCCTTTACATAAAAATATTAAATTCCTAATGATCATTCATTATTACTGTTGTTCAAAAAATATTTCCTGTAACTATTTCCTGCAATTGAAAAATCTTTCTCCTTTGATAGTACTTCTTTTCCCCCTCTCTTAAACAACAGCTGTAGATTGTAGATGGCATCTTGGTTCATGTGTCGCAAACAGCAATATCCTCAATAACCAAAAATCAACAAAGCAGATTAGATAAAGAGAATTAGGAGTATGTGTACTCTTAAACATTGACAAGACATAGCCTATTGAAAAGAGAGAGCTTCCACTCAGCTTACTTCTTATTTATTACTTTACATGCTCTTAGGGTTCTCCTGATTTTTCTTTTATTGCAAATATTTATTAATTAGCGCATACAAGAACTGGGGTACAGGCCAGAGGTGTGGGGGGTGAAAGGACTCACCAGAGACAGAGTGGGGAACAGAACAGACAGACTGACTGAAACACACTGCTGAGGGGAGCAGTGGACAAGACAGGAGAGGTCCGCTGCACCACGTGGGTCATCTCCCTGGCTAGGGATCAAACTCATGCTGCAGTGACTGCAGATAGCTTCATAGTGCTGTGTCTTAACGGCTTGCACTACCAGGGAGGCCTGCTTCTGATTTTTTTTTTAAGATTTATTTATTTATTTATACAAGCACTGGGTACAGTTAGAAGCACAGGAGGGTGAGAGAATTCACCAGAGTCAGAGCGGAGAGCAGAGCAGGCAGACTAACGAAGTACACTGCTGAGGGGAGCAGTGGGTGGCAGGAGAGGTCTGCGCGCCATTTGGGACCCTCACCTGGTGGCTGGGGATCGAACCTGCACTGCACAGGCTGTGGGAAGCTTCACAACCCAGCGCTCAACCACTGTGCCACTGGAGAAGCCCTGATTTTTTTTTTTAATACAAGAACTGGGGTACAGGTTAGAAGCGCGGGAGGGTAAGAGAATTCACCAGAGCCAGAGCAGGGAGCAGAACAGGCAGACGGACCGAAGACACTGCTGAGGGGAGCAGCGGGCGAGGCAGGAGAGGTCTGCTGCGCCATGTGGGGTTCTCCCTGGCCGGTGGGGAATCGAACTGTTGTAGAGCAACCCCGATATTATACTGCAAGTCCTGCAGAACTAGTGCGCTTATGGTGACCAACGCAAGGAATGTTACTTTGGGCTGGTCAACCGTGGGTGTAACTTGGAAACCACGCTGGGCGCCAAACTGTTGTAGAGCAACCCCGATACAAAATGGGGTGCCTGACTGTGGGTCCTCACCCGTGTGCTTAAAAGGACTTATCAATGCTCTACTGCAGGCACACGTGAAAGGTTAATAAAAGGTTTATTTACAAGGGAAGGGGAAATGAGGAAATGTACAGCTCAGGGAGAAAAGTGGGAGACAAAGTTTTAAATAAGTCCTACCCAATCCGCCGATCAGGAATCCCAAATGGCACTCTGAGAGCTGGCCGCAAGCCGTGATGCAGGGAGGCGAGCGATAGCGAGCCAGCCCAAGGCCCACGTGTTTGGTTTTTATACCCAACCTGACTGCTTAACTCTGTTAGGGGGAAATGATGTCCTGAGTTAATCCCATACAGGCTTTGTGGACTCCACCCCCACTCCAGACTAAAGCCATCAAGACTTTGGGAAAGACAAATCCCATCACCACCAAAGGGAGGGTGGCTGGGACCTGAGGGTGGAGTTGGGCAGCCAGGTTGGATATAAAAACCAAACACGTGGGCCTTGGGCTCTCTCTGGCTCGCGATCGCTGGCCTCCTGGCTTCACCGCTCCTGGCTGGCGGCCAACTCTGAGAGTGCCGTTTTGGGATTCCTGATCGGCGGATCGGGTAGGACTCATTTAAAACTTTGTCTCCCACTTTTCTCCCTGAGCTGTACATTTCCTCATTTCCCCTTCCCTTGTAAA